TTTTTTTTTTTTTTTTTTTTTTTTTGCGATTCTCTTTTGTGGGTTGGGTATGCATTAATATAATTTATTTTGAAGTATGCTTTTGTTGATTTTAGAGAGAGAGGAAGGGAGAAGGAGAGAGAAACATCAATGTGAGAGAGAACCATCAATCATTTGCCTCCCACATGCCCCCTACTGGGGATTCAGCCTGCAACTGGGGTATGTGTCCTGACTGGGAAAGATGTCTGGTCCTTTGTGGGGAGGTGGAGTTTCAGGGAGAGAGAGAAACTTAAGATTTTTAAGGGAAATGTTGTTTGTCCCATACAGTGTTCAGGTTTTTATTATGACTCCAAGAACCACCCAGTGCTTCTGGAATCATCTTTTTCTTTTTTCCAATTAATTTTTATATACAAGATGATGAGACTGTTGACTTGTATACTGATTGCAACTGGACTGCTACCTGTCGGCACCTAGTCTTTTTGTTGTTGTCCCACTAGAGGTGGATAAAAGGCTTTAGAAATTTCTCTTTGAAATTTATACTTCTAGTTCCCCTGTACTAACTGGGAATTAAAAGCTCTTACAGGCTTTATTGCCCCTCCCCCCATTTATCATTGGAATTTTGTATCATAGCTGACATGATCATAACATGATCATTTTGCGTGGGCTGATACCTAATAAGGATGGCCTAATTTCACTTTCTAAGCTTCTTAATTAGAACATCCTTTATTGCCTATTTATGTTTAGTTATCCCCCCCCCCACCTTTTGATGTCTTTTTTCCAGGTAAAGAAGCAGAATTTCTCTTTAATAAGTGCTCTTAGAAGTTTGCTAGCTTCCTTTGACTTTGTTTTCAACTTTTTCCTTTCCTAGTCAGTCTGGTCTGCAGTCAAGTGACTGCAAAGGCTCTTTGGAGGCATGCATTGGAAAAGTTTGTATAGTGTTTCACTTTACTCCTTGAATCCTTAACTGTTTCTGTAGTTCTTGCTTAGGCTTCTTTAATAAGAAATAGAATTAAATATCAAATATTTATAGAACTTGACTTTCAAAGGCATATAGAAAGACTAACAAGTTTATAAGCAGTATGATAAAATGGATCTAAATTGAGTTTATCTAGAGGGAGATACATACCAAAGAGGAACCAGAGGGCATAGAGTCTGTATTATTCAGAAAGCTTCTTTTCCTGGCATGTGCACAACCCCACATCCATTCTGCCCCCACGAATTCCTCCTGAAAGCAGGTGATCACCTGAATAGCTAGTCCACAGCAGCATCCCCAGGACCCCGAGCCCCTCCTGGGTCCTCCAGACACCCCCTTGTTTGTTTCTGGGTCAGCTGTGAGTCATTTAAGGACCTGTGGTCACCACAGCATGGATACCTTTGATGGTTGCTCCAGGGCCCACACCCCTCTCAGGTATGCAGCTGTGCCCTGCATGTCCACAGATTGGAACTTTTTCTTTATGTCCAAACTGTTGACAGCATTTATTTTCTCTCACAGCACAAGATGGGGTTTTTAGATGGAGAAGCGTGTGTTAGTAGGGCCTCAACAGTTTTTCTTTGAGATTGGCTTTTCACATTGACTTCCTGTGCTGGCTTAGATGACCAGCCAAACCTACCTGGATGGATGTGTCCAACACTGGGAGAAACAGAAAGGTCATTGCACCTGAAAAAGCTGCTGGACCACCCATCCTCCAGCCTCAATCTGGAAGGCAGGGGGTGTTTGTATGGCCCCCCTGCTCCTGGTGATCATCCAGGCAAGCCTTCCTGTTAGGGAGCCTGTGCACAGTGTTGTCCTGCCAGTACCTAACTCCTGACCGACTGACCCAAAATCATTCCACCCAGTTACCTTAGTGTGACTTGTTTAGAATCACCACAGCCTAAAGACATTTCTTCATTGAAACCAGTTCTTCTAAGGAAAGAACATATAGTTTGAAAGAACATAGTTCAACTTAAATTCTTACCAAATTTCTTATTGTCTTGTAGAAATTGTTTACCCAGTTATTTAGCTTTTTAGCTCCAATAAGGTTTTCAGAATAGAAAACAATTGGCATTTATTCAGTTGTTTTTGAGGTGTAATTCCCATACAGTGAGGAGCATAGTCCAGTTTGACCAGTTTTGACAAATGTGTCCAGCTGTGTAAACCTGCACACCTATCATGATAGAAACATGCCTGTGGTCCCTGAAGGTCCCCTCATGTTGTGGACTGAATGTTTGTGTCCCCAGTTCCCCAAGTTGAAGCCCTTACCCTGTGTGAGGATGGAAGTGGGTCCTTTAGGAAGTTGTTAGGGTTTCATGAGGTCAGGAGGTTGGGTCATGGTGGGATCAGTACCCTGATCAGAGGGGAGAGACCCCTGTCACGGCTCATGCACCCAGGAGAGGCCACAGGAGCACACAGTGAGGGGACCCTGCCTGTAGGTCAGTAAGGGGCCCCACAGGCCCGGAATCTCCCAGCTCTAGTCTTAGACCCCTCGGTGCTCCCACAACTTTGAGAAACAGGTATGATCTGTGCCAACTTGTCATGGC